TGTGGGTGTTATTTTATGATGGGATTGTTAGCCACCCAGAGCCTTTGGACTGGGCTGCATAGAAATGAAATTAAATAGTAGAGAAAGAAATGGGTGTAAGGCGGAAGGAAGAGAACGATTTGATAGGTTTGATATGGTAGTGGGCTTGACGGTTGGGGTGGGGTGGGGTGGGGGTGTTCTGGAGAAGCCAGTCTTTAAAAACCATCCGAACAATAGCCTCAGCTTGGAGTAATAGAAAGCTTGTTACAATTGCATTGCCCTAGCAGTTGTTCACATCTCCCCATTGAACTAAACCAACTGGAACCTTCTGTGCATTGAACAGCATGATTTCTCTTCTGCAGAGATACAGAGCATAGGTGAGAAAATGCCAGATGAAAGCAAAGGCTCATTTGGAAGATTTTGCTGTTCTAATCCATTTCACACTATCAAAGTAAGTACTCTGAGCATTTGCTAAATTAACCCCATTGCTCCAAAGACGAAAAGCAATTTAACTTGAATATATGGCTTTCAGCTATAGTCCCTATTTTTGCTCAACATACTGTACATGTATAGATATTGAAAGCAACTCACATTTTAGAGACATTTAAGGAGATTAAAAAATATAGAAAAAAAGAAGTTAACAAAAACCTGTGAGAACTCATTTGGAAGGGATAGTTCCTCGATGCCTTTTAAAGTTGGGCTTTTCCCATGCAGTTTTTCGCCTTCCACTGTTAAAATACTCTGGGCTAAATATACCGGGTTTGTCATTTTTTGGTTAAAAATAAGATTTTTGTGGAGTGCTTTACTGGTTTTTGTTTTTTTGTTTTTTGTTTTTTAAATGGGCAAACTCTGAGGTAGATTTAACTTCTTCAAGCCCTTGTTAGAGAAGAAATTTTAAGAGACAATTTCCCTGTGAAGAATTGTAAAGACAAGGATTGTCCTTGAGCATAGGTACAAAGAGCGTATTTCTGTCACTACTGACTGTCACTACATCTCATCCTAACTGTGATGGACTGACTTGCTTGTTTTGACTATGAAACTGTCTAATAGCAGGGTCCAAGATAAGGCCAGCTCAGATGCAGTTCTAACTCTTACTCATTTATTCCCTGCAGTTCTTTGTTTTCTGCCAAGGATTCCTGCAGCTCTCTCAACTGATGACATCTGGCTACATGAAAAGCTCCATTTCAACCATTGAGAAGCGTTTTGGTTTGTCCAGCCAGACGTCTGGCTTGGTGGCCTCTTTCCATGAGGTACCATCTTTGGCACCTGCATCTTGTTTTCTCCAGTTTGCTATTACTGCACTACCACTAGTGCTATAGTTACTACTAGTAAAGTGCCACTACTACTATTACTACCATTATTAATCTATGTAGTATTTAAATATCAACATTTAAATCTTATAAACTTATAATCTGTAATGCATTTTACCATGTTCTTTTATGTTCTGGACTTCTAGCAAAACAAAGGGTTGAATGGAAAAGAGTAACACCTGGTTTTCTAGTATTTTATAAACAAACTCCAATTTTCAATGAAATTATTTTCCGACATTCTCCCTTTTCTAAATTCAACAATATTAGTGAGTTTTATCATATGTATATCTCATAATTTCCAGACCTATTCTTTCAATGAGAAATAGATTAGCATTCACCATTTTAAACTAATAATTTTGTTTATTAGCTTACCATCTCTTTTTCCTCTGATAAGAATATATTTTTAATTTTAAAAAACAGAAATGCTGCTGGACCTTAATTGTAGCCTCTTCATATGTTTAATATTTCTTACAGTAAATAAGGGAAATCATGTATTCATTTATTTAGAACATTTCTATGACCACCCAACTCAAGCAGCATCACTGGGTGACATATAAAACCATTAAGGAAAAATACAAAAGAGAAATAATATGTACCATTAAAGCAAACTAAAACAATTAAATGACAATTAGGACTAAAATATATTATATCTCACCAATGGGGAACTTTACGCATCCTGACCCAACCACTCAGGGAAAGAACCAGTTCCCAACTGTTTTTATAAAGGCCAACAGGGTCAGGACCAATCGTATCACTGGGAGGGGGACAGAAATCATTCCAAAGGGAAGGGCCTCTTACATCTCCCAAAGTGATATTTTTTCCAAGAAGGCTTCTGGAGAGTTGTAATGGAATGTGAGAATGACCTTGGAAGACATGGGGAAGAGATGTTGCTTAGGGAATGATCAGATAAAAGGGGCGAGAGCCCACAACTGAGTAATGGTCAGAGAAAGAAACTTAGAAAGGACCTGCCCTAACTGATCAGGTGGTAAATGGAGATGGAGGGAGATTTGTACTTTCAGACTTGCAGGAATCTGTTAATGTAGCCTAACAATACAGTAGAAGTAGCTCATCTGGTCGTGTTTCCTGTCTGGTTTACCCGGGAGGGCCGACAAGGATGTCCTCCCTTTTGGAGCATATAGGATGGGGAGATACCCTTGGGAGAAGGCAGTCCCACAAATAATCCAGTCCTATGCCATGCAGAGTTTTGTAGGTGATAACCAGTATCTTGAATTGCACCCAGAAACTTATAGGGGCCAGTGCAGCTCACGGGATAGAGGTTTAACATGGGTGCAATGAGGAATACCCCTGACTACCCACATGCTACATTCTGGGCCAATTGAAGTTTCCAGATGGTCTTCAAGGGCACCCACCCAATTGAGAGGTGACTAAGATGTGAATGACCATGAACAGATCCCCCTGATCCAGGAATGGGTGTAATTGGCACACAAAATGAAGCTGTGCAAAGGTTCCCTTGGTTTCGGCTGCCACCTGCTTTCCAAACAGGAGTTGTAAGTTCAGGAGGACTCCCAAATTGTTCATTGAATCTGAGCAGGGTGGTGCAACCCCACCCAGAGTCAAAGATGAAATCTAGTTCCAGGACCCATGGAGCCCCAAACCCACAGCCACTCGGGATTGGTAAGATTGAGGCAAAGCCTATTCTGAGGGCTGAGATAAACAATTGAGTTTCATCATCAGACTGATGATATTGTACTCCATGCAGATGGATGTCCTTGCCCAGCAGCTTCATATAGATGTTAAAAAGGAGAAGGAAGGGGGAGAGCCTTGAGGCACCCTGCAGATTAGACTGTTCTTCCCCCCACCCCCATCACCAACTGAAACTGGCCTTGGAGGAAGGAAGAGAACCACTACAAAACATTGCCTCCTACTCCTAACCCCCTGAGCCAATCCAAAAGGGTACCATGGTCAATAGTATCAAAGGCCACCAAGAAATCAAGAAGGGCCAGACACTATCCTCATCCCAGGCCTGCCAGAGTCCAACTAAAGCTTCTCAGTATATATCCTAGTCTGAGACACGACTGAAAGGAATCCAGATACTCTGCTTCCTCCAGGACCTGTTGGAACTGTAGGCCAACCACCTTCTCAACAACCTTCCCCAACAAGGAAAAGTTGGCAGCTGGATGAAAATTGTCCAGATCTGTGGGTCCAGCAATGGTTTTTTGAGAAGGGTGTGCATCACCACCGCTTTCAGAGCCAGTGGGACTACCCCATTCCTCAAGGAAGCATTCACCACCACATTGATCCACTCACACGCCTCCTACCTAGAGGCCCTGACCAACCAGGAGGGCATGGATCTAAAACACGGGTGGCTGCACTCACAGTGCCAAGAATCCTGTCCACCTCCTCAGGACCTACAGGATCAAACTCCCAGACAGCATCATAGGAATGTGCCTCAGTCAGCTCCATAGGAGTAAACCCAAGCAGGTGTATCCACCAGGTGTTGAGAATAATCTTCACACAACCCTGCAACAACCCTGGCCCCTTTTTACATAGCTTTTCCTGTAATAAAAAGCAGTTCATCATTGCTTTACAAATCTTCAATAAAGTAGTTTGGAGGTTTTCATGAAAGAATTCTCAGTTCTATTTTTTATTTTATAATAAGAAATTATTTTTTCTACAGTATTCGTATACTGATATACAGTATTGTCCCCCCAGGAATGGGCCTTGTAAACTGGAATATGATATACACATATTTGTGAATTTAATTCTGTAATACCTACTAATTAAAATAATGTAGAATAAGAATAATTGGATACTGGGTGAAAAAAATCCTTTTTCTAAGGGGTGATAATAATGCCAACCAATGCTTTTTAGTGCAAACTACAGTATTTACTGATATTTTTTAAAAAGTGATCACAATTACATTTTGATCTGACTTGCTATCTTTCACATAGATGTAGTTTCTTCAGCATTTTTAAAGATCTCCCCTCCTTTCCTCTCATCCCCCAGATTGGAAACACAATGCTAATTATCTTTGTGAGTTATTTTGGGAGCCGAGTTCACAGGCCCCGTGTCATTGGCTGCGGTGCCATCCTCGTTTCTGTGGCAGGATTGGTCATTTCTCTTCCTCACTTTGTTTCAGGACCTTATGAATACGATCACTCCATTTCTGGTGAGGACTTTCTGTAAATGTTCTTCATGAAGCTTTTTTTCAGATTTCAAATTTGGAACTGCGGAAAATCCATTGATTTCTAGCTCTTCAACATTATAAATGACTAAGCCAATAACCTATTTATCTTTCTACAAAGCCATGTTATATAATTATGTCATTGACTGATTATATTCCTTATATAATTTCTTATATAAGAAATTATACTGTAATGTAATTTATTTCTAATTCTTTGTCTTCTGCTTTGTAAGCCGCTCAGCGTCATTGGAAATGGAGTGGCATAAACACCAAAATAAGAAATAAATAAAAAATAAACATTCCTAAGCTTTTGTACTTTTGAGGTAGGAAAAAATATAGTTTAGGGGCTGCATGCAGTCACAGCATCCCTTTTGTAGATCCCAAACCTGCCCAGAATGGGCCAAAAATCTCAGCCTTTAATTTTTTTTTTATTTTTTGTTTACATTTTTTAATGGTTTGGAGAGGTTTAAGGGGCAAAGTAGGTTTTAAGTTCCTTATTTCACTCTTAAACATCTATTCTCCCACCCCCCAAGTTTCTGATGCTACTCATATTGGGAGTGTGATCTTCAACATGCCATGTAAGCCTACTGTGGGCCCCAAAATGTTGGAAGGTTTGCCCTCTTTCTATAAAGAAAGACTGGATAGTAAATAGGATAGAAGGTGATTAGTGAACGCTCCCCACCAAATTCCCCTTTCCCTGCAGTTGTCTTAAACCACAGCTCCCCCCATTCTTGGAAAAACCTGGAGGTCAGCTCCAATATTGCAATATTAGAGGCTGGGAAAAAGGCTTCTACTACTAACAAGAATAGTTATCACAGTGTTGGATGGATCAGGGATCTGAAGTAGCCTGAGGCATCTTCATAGCAGGGGCGTCCAAGTGGGGTGGGGAACCAAAAAAGTCAAGACGGCATCTGTGACAGTGTGTAGAAAAGGTTATGCAGCTGTCATGTTGGCTTTTTAGACTCCCCCTGCTTCAAACGACAACAATCCCACAGGCAGGTGTTAAAATGGGCATCCTACTGGCAAAATACAGAATTAAGTAGAAATCAAATAATATACAAATCAAAAAGCAGTTGAAGAAAAAACTAAAATAAAATTGGGAGTGTGTGCAGGTGTGGTCTTAATGAGAAATGCAAACATTTTAAA